GGCGGGAGCGTGGACTGGGGTGTTGGCGCTCGCGGATTTTCCGTCTCGGGAGCTCAAGGTGACGTGGCCAGACATGGAATATAGCACTGGCAGAGTTCTTCTCAGCGGCCATGCCATTGGGGCGGACTTCCTTTCGGTGGCCACGGTCTACGGATTTGCCCAGGGACCCGCGTACCCACAAGCAGTTGCGACGACGGATCAGCTATTGAGGAACGTCACGAAGGAGTTGGTCATGGGCAGGGGAGGTCCACGGTTGGTGGTTGGGGATTTCAACGCGGACCCCACGGAGCTCAACCAGTGTCACATCTGGAAGTCCATGGGCTGGGTTGAGTGTCAAGATCTGGCACTTCGCAGTTGGGGCCGGCAGGTACAGAACACTTGCAAGAATGCGACTCAGAGGGATTTATCTTCATGTCCCCGGAGGCGGCGGCGCTTTGCATGGAGGTGGAGGTGCGCCCGGTCTTCATGGAACATCAGACGGTTCAGACCAAGTTGATGGTGCGACACGAGCGACCTCAACAGCTGCAATGGGTCCACCCGGCGGCCATCCCTTGGGAAATGGTGAACATAGACCGGCTGGAGCAGACGCAAGTTATCGCCTGTCCCGTTCCGGAGGGCGATACTACGAGTTGGTATGGCAAATGGGGGAGGGCGCTGGAGGAGGCGGTGCATCAGACGAGCTCAGATGGTTTAGCAGCCCGGTGCAGAGGCAGGTGCCAGCGAACCCAACCACAACGACGGCAACAGGAGGCGCCGCTTTCCAAGCCAAGTCGTCAAGGGGAAGTTGTTCTCTATTGCGATCTCACGGGCTGGGCAGTGGCCAAGTGGTTCAAGCAGCTCCGTCGGCTCCAATCACTACGGCACGCAATCAAAACAGACTCACCCACCGAGCAGGCCCGGGAGCACCTTCATCGGCTCTGGTACAGCATCTACACAGCCAAGGGGTTCGCGGGAGCTTTTCACAGATGGTGGCCGAGGCGTCCCGTTCAACATCAAGGTGCACCACGGCAGCTACAGCGTCTGCGGCTGACTGTGGAGGTGGTGGAGACGCTCTACACGGATTTCCAGGCCAACTTTCGGAAGTTCGAGTCTTGGCACATCCGCCAGCGGCACAAGGTCATTCAAAAGCGTTACGAATCCAACCAGCACCAGATCTACCAAGCCTTGACACGACCACGGGCCCTTGAGGTTGACTATCTCCTGGAGATGCGGGACTACACCATCTTGGCGCACGAGCAAGAGACCGGCCTCACACATCTGGACAGGGACGTTGAAGGTGGATTTCACAGCCAGAGCTGGGACGTCGAGGAAGAGGCCACCAAGGTTGTCCAGGCTCATGATGACTTGATCACCATGGAGACCTCGACTCCTCCCACACCCGGGCAAACCCTCACAAGCACCCGCACCATCACGGACGAGCAGGAGCTACAGGACAACTTTGCCGGGGAGTGGCGCGCCCGATGGAACGCTCATCTCAATCTCACGGAGGACGTCTGGAACCGGGCCATCGCCTTCGACATCAACTTCCTTCCCAAGGGCAAGCTGGAGTATGAGGAGGTGGACATGTTGGAGTGGGACCGGGCACTACGACGGCTAAAGCCTACCGCAGCACGAGGACCAGATGGACTTAGCAAGGCCGACTTGCAGAACGCACCACGCGCACAACAGCAGCAGCTCGTCAGTCTCTATGGCAAGATCGAGAAGGGCCTTAGCGCTTGGCCTGATCAACTGCTGCAGGGAACGGTCATTGCCCTGGCCAAAAAGCCTACGTCTCAAGCGGTTCTGGACTACAGGCCGGTGACGATCTACGGCATCCCCTACAGGTTGTGGTCTAGCGTGCGAGCGCGAACTGCACTGCGGCATGTGGAGCAGTACTGCAACTTCGGAATGTATGGCAGACGGGAGCCGGGCTTGCGGGATGGTGCAGCGACCTGAAGAAGCGCTTCAACACCTTGGGGCGCCATCCAATCATGCGCCTGGGACTTCACTTGGGACTTCCAGGCCCGTGGCTGCACGCATGGCAAATGTGTTTGGATCGGAACCAACGGCGATTTCAGATTCGAGGTGGGCTGGGCGAGCCGATCAGCTCCGTCAACGGCATGCCAGAAGGATGTGGCCTCAGCACGGTGGCCATGTGCTTGGTCGACCTCTCCTTTCACGCCTTCTTCAAGGCCTTTCAGCCGGAGGTGATGTCGTTCAGCTTCGTGGACAACTTTGCGGTACTGGCGGATACGGCGGCAGCCCTATACCGATCGCGTTTTTGTCCTTTTGCGAGATGTGGCGAGTGGAACCAGATGCTGACAAAACACTTGCTTGGGCTCTCAACAAGCCAGATGTCGCCTTGCTTCATGGCACAGACTTGCGAGTAGTCACAGACATGAAGGACCTGGGCGCCTACTACACCTTTTCCCACAGACGAGCACACAAGAAGATTGTGCAAGGAAAGTCGGCAGATCTCCACAGCGAATGGAGCAAGCTACGTCGGGTGGCAGCTCCATATCATCAGAAGCTGGAGGCGCTATTTGTGAAGTTCTGGCCATCGGTTTTCTACGGCACGGCCATTTGCTCGGTGACGGAGGCGGAGATCATGCACCTTCGGACAACGGCGAGCAGGGCTATTCATGCACACAGAGCTGGATCGAACCCGCTGTTGCGACTCAGTCTGAGCGCCAATATCTTGGCAGACCCAGGTTTCTTTCGCACATGGGCCGTCCTGCAGGACCTGCGTCGCCTTTGCCGCAAATCTCCTCAGCTGGTTACCCTGTGGAGGAGATTTCATCGAGAACCTGTACTGCACCGGAGCAGCGGCTGCGGGACCATTCTCTCAGATCATGCAGGTTTTCGACCCGCTTGGATGGCGCATGGAGGACCCACCATGGATCCTGGACCACATGAGTATGAGCATGAACCTGCTACTGGTCAACCGGACGGAGCTACATCGACGTCTTCAGGATGGGTGGCTACGCTACGTATCCAACAAGGTGCGATCCCGGAAAACGATGGGAGGCCTACTGGGCATCGACCTGCGCCTTACCAGGTTGGACAACGGCAAGCTCTCTCCGCTCGAGACCTCGCGAGTAGCAGCGCTACAGGACGGAAGCTTTCGATTAGCGGCGCAGCACGCCAAGTATGACGCGGAGTGCACGGGACTTTGCGACCGCTGTCAAACTCCCAACACGGTGAAGCACATCTGCCTGGAGTGCCCGAAGTTGACGGAACACCATCACGACCGGCAGTGGTTGACGAAGCGGTGGAACTACTTGCCCGACTGTCTGACGCACCACCTTCTGGTTCCGACGTTGATGGGCATGGATGACTACCAGCACCTACTACAGGGTCAACCTGACCACCACATGGATCCTGTGGAGATCAACGCCCCGGATGGCCACATCAACTTGTTCACGGATGGAGCATGCCTCACAGCTAGGCACCCGTGGCTGGCTTTGGCGGGCTGGGCGGTGCACTGTGTGGAGATGGACACGGTGGTGGCGGCGGGGCCCTTGGGCGGCCTGATCCAGGACATCGCTCGGGCGGAGATCACTGGAATTATAGCTGCTTGCAATTGGGCCGTTCGCCAGCGCAGGCCAGTAAACATTTGGACGGACAGCCAGGTTTGCTGTGACGGGTGGCGACGGCTACACGATGGTGCACTTCGACAGGAGGCTGTGCCCAATGGCGATCTATGGGAGCAACTGCGGCGTGTGCTTGATCATCAGCAGGAGCCCATCATGGTGATCAAGGTCCGGAGTCACCAACCCAGTCAGAGCAGAGAGACGGCGCTGGCAGACTGGGAGCATATTCACAACGAGGCAGCAGACGTGGCGGCCAAAGCCACCATCTTCAACAGAGACGCGGAGCTACTTGCACAACGAGCTCGGCTGCTCGATCAGGTAGCGGATCTTCTTCCTACCATTCGAGCTTTGAGGCGAGTGACGCTAGCGGAAGCAGACATGCATGCCCGGATTTCCCCGTCAGGTGAGGATGAGGTTGCCCCTGACTGTTGGGAGGCTCCGGTGGTTTTCCAACCTAGAGTAGAATCTCTTGGAATTCGTTTGGGCCAATCTTGGCTGGAAGCTTTTGTAGAAGAAGCGGGAACCTCCTTTCCCAGATCATTTGCTTTGGGCTTCAGCAGTTGGCTTTTGGCATTTGATGCGGGCAGTGATGGATGTGTTCCCGTTAGTTGGTTTGAGATTGCGGTGGTTTACCATTTGACTGGCGGCCGCTTTCCTACTAGGGGGCCTCATGGATGGGTTGCACCTGGGGCTTTTAGCATTCATTTCAATCATGCCTTGATAGGCGATTGGATTCAGTGCACCCGATCACTGATCCGAGCTTTACTCAAGAGGGCTGACAGCGAGGATTTGCTTGTGAACAGGATCGATTGTTCTCGCATGGGGGTCACTTGCTTCATGGCGGGTGTTTCGGTTGGGGCCCCGGTGGAATCCTTGCTGTTGGCTCGACGGCAGATCCATGAGCGGTCATTGAGCCAGGCTTTTCGAACGGCCGACTTCGCTAGGCCGTTCTAGGAACGGCATTGGACTCTCGTCCTCGCTGCGACAGCTGCGAGACGAGCCGCGAGCGCGAGTGGGGATAAAGTTTTTGTTTTTTTCTGTCTTCCTGTTCTTTCCTTTTCTTGTTCTTTTTCTTCGGGGGGTTCTCAAAATGGGTGTGGCTCAAAATTGAGGTCCAATATGGCTTGCCCTGGTAAATGGAAACGTAGACTGAAACCTGCGGTTTGCCCAGCTGTTTAATTTTGAGCCACACCCAAATGGCGGACAGTCGGTGGCGCTGCAAGGGAAACCAGTTGTGGACCGGGCCCCGGTTGAAGTCGGCACAAAGGGTCAACCAGAGCAAACCGACCATTTTGAGTAGGGACAATACTTTTGAGAAGCAGCCACAACCGAACTCTAAAGTTCTAAAGCAAAGCCCTTGAATAAGAAGGAGCCAACAGCGCAACGGCCGCACTCTCCACAGACAAATGCAACAAGACTTCGGATGGCCTGCGAGGCGAAATCTGCCACCGTCACCTCGAGTCGCCGGGGGAAAAGTTGAGCTCTGTTGAATCTGGACAAAAATACAAAAGAGCAAGGAGAGTTCTTGCAAAACCACGGAACCATTGGCGCGGCATGGTTCGAAACGTTGGAAGGGCTGGACAAAAAAATGGCACGGCTTGAGTGCCGCGCAGTGCCACGGCTCCGTGGAAGACTTCAGAAATTCAGCCCGCGCAATCGTGTCGACTCGTTTCATTTAGAGCAACTACCCATAAAATATTATGGTGAGGTGTTGTCACATGGGGTGTGGGTCAAAAAATAGGTAGCCGAAATGGCTTGCCCTGGTAGAGGGAAAGACCTTCAAACTTGCGGTCCCTGGTTTAATTTTGACCCACACCCACATGCCAATTGGCGTCCGACTGTCCGCGCTTAGCTTACAACTCTTTTTTTTCAGGACGCCCAAGTTCTTCGCGGCGCGAAGAGCGCTTCGCCTCACGGAAGACGCCGTTCCCGAGGCGATGTGAGTCACTTGCTGAAAACCCGGTACTAAAATGGTCGTAATCCCAGAACCATGCTTCAAGAATTCAGAAGGGAAATCCGCAGCTATTTACGGTTGGGAGTGTCCCCTACTAACCTTCATCCACCCGGGTTTTGATTGTAGCTCATGTGTGCAAGCGCCAGCGAAATTCGGCTGAGGCGCGGGAGATAGGTCGCTCTTTGCCCTGATCTCAGCACTCAGCAGCCTCTTCTGCAAATCCGCAGTGAGCTCACAGGCCTCCGAGTCTACGGCAAGCAAGGAACATGGCCGTGGGTCAAAAGCCAAATCGTACATCCCAATCCAACCACTAAAATAGGTTCTAAAATGAGCGGTGCACCTGCCCCAAAATGATGCAATTGGTTTTGACCCGCAGCCACATGAGAAAGCGATGCGCATCGCGATTTGGTTCCGTTCAAGTGCCACAATGCGGGGGGGATGTTTTTGTTCTATACTCTTGGTGGCTTCCCCTTGCCTGCCATGGTAGATGAAATCACTGGGCAACTTGTGGGGGAGCACAGGAAGTTCAGTCAGAAGATCAGCAGTCTATGCTCCGTGCCGGAGGGACAAGGAGGGGCTCACTAAATTTCCCACACGAATGGGGACTCACTAATCTTTGGAACGAGAGGGCGTGGACTATCAAGGGCTATTCAAAGACACCCGGTCATGTCTGTCCCGGCTAAGATCTTTTGACAACGTCTTTTTTGCGTTTCATGTTATTTCAGGGAGGCTATAGCTTTCTACCATTGAAGTCTTGAAGGAAACTGGTCAGCATTTTAAGGGAAACCTCCAGGAAACCAAGCATGCAGGACACCAAAGCAAAGCAATCAAGTTCCCAAGATGGGTGTCAGGAATACACTTGCCGATGTGTCGCATGCTTGCCGCTGCAGGAATATGCCACAGGTTGTCCTGCTATGAGGCAAGTTGCTGGGACAAGCAATGTCAAGCCCGGTCCCCAAACGCCGAGTCATTTCTGTTTCAGCAGAAGTGCGTTGGAGGCGAGATCTCAAGGAAAACTGCACAAACTCATGGAGAAAAGTTGGCCCCGCATCAGTTGCACCGGCTGGCCACAGGCTTCAACTCACCCAAGTGTTAGGAAGTGCCAGGGGAAGAGAAGCCACCTTCAGAAGCACGCGAAGAAAGGGATCAAGAAAAGCGGCTGGCCTCAACATCATGCGCTGTAGAGAGAGAGAGAGAGAGAGAGAGAGAGAGAGAGAGAGAGAGAGAGAGAGAGAGAGAGAGAGAGAGAGAGAGAGAGAGAGAGAGAGAGAGAGAGACAGACAGACAGAGACAGACAGACAGAGCAGAGACAGACAGACAGACAGACAGACAGACAGACAGACAGACAGAGAGAGAGAGAGAGAGAGAGAGAGAGAGAGAGAGAGAGAGAGAGAGAGACAAGAGAGACAGAGAGAGAGAGAGAGAGAGAGAGAGAGAGAGAGAGAGAGAGAGAGAGACAGAGAGAGAGAGAGAGACAGAAGAGAGACAGAGAGAGACAGAGAGAGAGAGAGAGAGAGACAGACAGACAGACAGACAGACAGACAGACAGACAGACAGACAGACAGACAGACAGACAGACAGACAGACAGACAGACAGACAGACAGACAGACAGACAGACAGAGAGAGAGAGAGAGAGAGAGACAGAGAGGTTTTGCGTGCATCCGGACTTCTGTATCCAAAATCCCTGCTCCAGCTGCCTCCAGTCCGCCTAAAGTGAGCCTGGAAGCAGCCGGCCTCCAGAGCCGGGAGGTCAGATTCCTTCAACTTCAAGCAGATTCTTTCTGATCCAACCCCATGCCTCCAAAAGCCTGTCCACTTCCCTTACAAAGACCAGTTCGACAATTCTCCACAACAACTGTTCGCTGCCAGGCCCGGGATGCAGGAGGACGGACGGGTTCGATTGCTTGCGAACTTCATGTCCGAATTGAAAAACGATCAAATCCCCTGGTCAAATCTCGCTGGAAGCCGGTCAACTTCCTCCCCTCCACCACTCCGGTCAAATCCCGCTAGAAACCGGCAAAACTGCTCAAATTAACCCCAAAAAAACCGTAGAAACCAGCCGAACTCGCTTCTAGAAACCTGGCAAATCCCCTCTGAAAACAGGTCCAACTCCCGTCAAATCCCCTAGAAACCATCAAAATCCACAGAAACAAGCCGTCCGATACCCTAGAAATTTGGACCTGCAGTTGGCCCACTGCGGCTCTCGGTCTGGCCCTTGAAGCCAGGTGGAATCGTGCATGCGCCCACCCGCTAGCTTGGAAACCAGTTCACGCATTTCCTCGCCGACTCCCTCACTGTAATAACATCACTTCAAGGCAAACTGAAGCAAAGTACATACCTCAAAGCCAGCCAAAAGCGGACTGGCCGAAGCGGGCAACGCGAAGCGTTTACAATAACAATATAGATAATGAATAATAAACATAACCAACACACACACACACACAAACAGGCAGGCCGCCCCCCGCCGCACACACCGGATCCTGGACGACCACCTCCCGCGCGATCGCTCGCAGCTCCAAGAGGTCCATGGGCCAATGGGCCGCGAAAATTCGGGGCCCGCGCCGCACCGCGGCGCGGGTCCGCCGCGGCCGCGGGACGTATGGCGCCCCAAACGAAAGGGTCTTGCCACGGGAATCGTCTGCATGTGAAAGGTGGGAAAACCCCAAAAAATAAAATCCCAAGAAAGAAATAAAAAGGGGAAAAAAGGAAACGCCGGAGTATGACCCGAGTTGATTAGTTTTATTGTTGTTTTGTTTTGTTCCTTCTCGCAAAATTGCGGCATGCGGAGAACTAAAAACATCCCCCTGCCAAATGCCATAGGAAGCAATCATAGCGGCCCAGGCTCGTGTCTTAAGCCAAGACTGCGAACCTGACGCAGGCTTTTGGTCATTTCGCTTCCAGACAAACAATCTGGGCTTGTCTCCAAAAAGAACTCCTGAAGGTTGTCAGTTGGTCCCCTTTGCAAAATGTGTAGGGGTGTTTCGACCAGAGATGAGCCAGCAGTGGAGTGCAAGTTCATTCAAGTTGGATCCTTTGAGGGGGCCAGGGGGCCCCCAAAGAGGGCATTTCCACATTTCGGGGGAGGCACCCGATGTTCTGCCAAAAAGTTCGTCACAACTGGGGAGCTCTCGACAAGTCCGATTTTACGCCTGTCTACATACAATCCAAGTTTTCTCCGGTTCCCTTCAGCGGGGTTCCGCTTCAGCCCCGCCTTGAAGACCGGATGCCTTCGTGCCTTAGTGGCCGGCTTTCAAGCAATCCAAGTTGAGCCATGAGAAAAGATCCTGAAAGGTCTCAACTTGGGTAAACTCCTCCATGCATTTCCTGCGCTCTCAACCCTTCCGGGTGAAGGCTCCTCTTTTACAACTGGAGGTAACCGGTCGGTTGATGCTTCTTAGTTTGCTTTCAAAACGAGCCGAAACCCTTTTGCTTAAAGTTATCATTTGGCTCTAAGTCAAAATTCAACCACCATGGGACCACAGGTTTAATCCATGTTTCCATAAATAGACTCAAATGGATGGTGCATCTACCCCAAAATGATAGCATTTGGTTTTGACCCACAGCCATTTGATTTCCCCGGAGCGCAAGACCGCCATCTCACCTCCCGCCTCGTGAGCCCCGCAGGACACGCACGCCGCGCCAGCGGCGCCGGCGCCGGCGACGGCGCCGCGCGCACGTGCCGGAGGATCTCCATGGCTGCGCAAAGTACGGTGAAGGAAACGCATTGCAATGCTGAAGCTTGAAAAAGCGGCTGCGACCGCCTACAGTGCGGGTGTATGCCGGTGTTGTTGTTTTGTTAACTCTGCCTCCAGAAAATCAAACGCAAGTCAAGTTTTATATGTCCAGGAGCTAGCTAAAAGAAGTACTAAATGTCCAGGCTGCCGAAGGTTTCTCTGTTCTTCAACTCGTTGACCAGCTGGTGAGGAAGATCTTCAGTTGACAAGCACCACGCGAAGTGCCCTAGGAGGGTGGTACAGTTGCACTGGCATAAGCAAAATTGTGACACCCAGCAAGCAAGTGGACACAGCGCTCTCTGCGCCTCTCCCTCGACTTGTCTTGACTAGATCCGCTCATTGAGCCAACGCTCAGTAGCTTCAGCATACCATGTGGCTTCAAACGTTAAGTACAGACAGCTGGGACCAGAAACCGAACACCATGGCAGGCACTGATACTACAGGCACACGCGGCATGAGACAAACTCAACGGGCTGAGACTTGCACGGCGGTCGAAATGGATCACCAAAGGCGACAACTTACAACCGGAGAACAGTCATGGCAGCACGATGGCAAGGGCTGCGGTTTTGTAACCTTTGCAAGGCTTGCAGTTTTGAAGAGTGGTTTGAGCATCCGCAACCAGGTGAACCAAGGGATTGAAACTGTGGGGCTTCCGAGTAGATGATGCGGCCACTCAGGCATTCCCTTCGTCCTTCCATCCGATAGTCTCGTTCGTCCAGTTGCAAGAAATCCGACAGTCTCAGCAACCAGTTCAGTTTCGTTAAGCGGCGAATAGGTGAGCAAGGTTTGGCTCTCACCAAACCAAACAAGGCTGAAGCGCTCACCAACCCACAGTGCTTCAGGGACTGTTCACCCTCCCTATATAGACTGGCCATCCAGAGGCGGGACTGCCAATTCAATCGTCTGTAGTGTTGTCACTTGCTCCAACCACCTGTTCACATGCAATCTGCCAGAAAACCTTTGGTTTCAGATGCACCAAAAACCATCGACCACCCATTCGGGTGCTGGCGCATGCGAGCGGTGCCCAAACACCTTGACGTTGAAAAGCATGCCGAAAAAGGCACAAGGCCCCTTTAGAAACCACTGGTGTGTTGGGCACTGCCATCAAGTGAGACGACTGCATCGATCTCTTGCGTTGATATGTAAAACAAGAATGCCTCGCTGCTAGCTCAATGCGCAATGCATGGCTCTTTGCTGCCAACATACTTGCAGCACATGCATGCACATATGTTGCAAGTCGACCAACCGAGCACCGCTGAAGATGATGGCAAACACAGGGTCCGCTTATAACGTCTTGGGGCTTCAACCATAGCTTCGCCAAACGGATTCAACATGCTGAAGTGACACTCGGGTGAGAAATGAGACTGCCTCACACGGACGAGTTGAAGAAACCTGAAGTTCACTCCGAGAACCCAGCCGAGACTTAAGGGAAAACATGTCCAGTGCTTCGAAAAAGCCGTGGACCTGCGAATGGGTGGTTTGCCCCTGCTTTGTGCAGCATCTTCTTTTCAACCTTCAAGGCAACTCTGGGCGTCTCCTGTTCCGCCCAGGGAATGGGATCAGAATGTGGGAAGCCCGCAACTAGCCCGACAAAGCCAACTCCAAGCACAGATCTGGTGATCCTTGCTTTGGGTTTGCGACCAATTCCATTCGCTGTCGCTGTTGGGCGGTCTGATGAATTCACAGTATACGTAAGTCATCTACTGAAGTAGCGTGGGGAGTTTTGACAAGCCGTGCAAAGTGCTGTCGGGACCAAGTATACGAACATGCTATGCTATGCTATGCAATGATATGATATTTATGCTATGATATGCTATGTAATGCATTGTATGATATTTGTGTTATGACATGCACCGGGCTCGTTGTCAGTCGACAGTCCTCCTCGTGGGCGGTGCAGCGGACCACCCTCTGTTTTTTTGAGTATGCGGCCTGCAGACCCCAGGAGTCTTTTTGTGTGTAGAGGCCTTGCTGGGGCCTGCGCCATGTCGACACGAGTGTGTGTTTGGTGCTCTGTTTCCTTTGGTCTTTTCTGGTGGGGTTTTGATTGTGCTGTGTTGCCTGTGTTCGCTTGAGTTTTGGCACTAGTCCCGTATGCGGTAAAGGAAGTGGGCTGTGTGTGTGTGTATAGCAGCCGTCCGGCTGGTGTTGGTGTGCTTGCTATCGAAGGTGGGTCGTACGATAGTGGCAGTAGGCGAACCCACTGATTTTCGGCCAGCTCTGCCCCTTGGTCTGATGGCGTGCCGCTGATGGCTTGCTTAGGACAGCGCTCAAGCGGGCACGTGCCTGCTGTTGTGATTATGTTTAGTTTCTCCGTGCTGCGGCAACTGTCGTTGTCTGAATTTGGTGCATAATTTTTACCACCGGCGCTCATCCCTGCCTTTAGTACCCTTCGCGGGCTGGTGGGGATGGACCGGAGTTGCTGGATGCAGCAACCTTTTTTGTCACCAGGCCTTGTGGCACCCTGCGAGGGCGGCCTGGTTGCGGGGGTTCTAAGGATCGCACCAGTTTTTGCGTGCCACACACTCAACTTTTGTTTGTGCAGTTTTGAAGTGGTGGCTAGCCCATCACTTACCAGCCGATGGCCATTTCTGTCGTTGATTGTTTGAGATGGCCGTGCCTGGGCCTATGGCCTTCGACACCTGACCTACACCCTGTTATGACATGCAATGTTATGCTATGGTATGCTATGTTATGCTATGCTATGTACTGTTATTGTATGTTGTGGTGTGTGTGACTCACAGCCGTATCATGACTGGGTTACTCCGCTCATGGATCAACCCGAAAGCTGTGAGAAGACCAGCTCTGTGGTTTTGTGCGAAAATATAACATCGTTGCCACCCGTCCACTTCCACGCAGCAATATGAAGGTAATGTCACTACTCCCTGGAACGAACCAGAATCCGCGTCACGCCATATAAGTCCTGCGCAGGGTCCCGTTCAGGCGTCGTCGACAAACACAAACACTGAGACAACAATGCCCTGTCTCCAGTCGGCAAGTGTTTTGTCATGATCAGATCTTCGCACCGAATGCGCTCAAGGCCATGTTAGCACTATTTGGCCATGGGTCAAAACCCCGTACTTTCAGTGAACATCCCAATCCCCACTAAAATAGGTTCTAATCTGGGTGGTGCACCTATCCCAAAATGGGATCCCATTGATTTTGAACCATGGCCATATGCTCCCTCGCGCCAGTCTCCCAGCCCCACTGCCTGTCGCAGCTTGGGCGATGCTGTTCCTCTTGGTGCGTCCCTGCAAGAGGCGCAAGCTGGAGGTCTAAGTTGTCCTTGTTGGTAGCAGAATTCCAGGAGTCCAAACCCAAAAAAAACGATTCGACGCCAACATGGGGCGGCCTGAGCAGATGTATTAACTAGCTGGGATCTCCCTCAATATGCTAAAAAAGCTAAAACGCTTCATGAAAGCCCGTTTAGATCTGTTTGGGTCCACGCACATTCGCTCCCAAAGTGCCCATTTGGTTCGGTCTGGCCCTGCGTGCGGTATGTTGCAACAATACAGGTTGGATTTGTTGGGACAAATTCAACTTTAGCCTCAACCAAAGAACGTAAAAATAAGAGATTAATCTTTGGGTGACTCAAAAAGGCCTCTAAACTCTAAATGTTACAACCCGCCGAATGGAGGCTTTTTCCTGGGGTCCAGCAAAGTTTCAAAGTTTGCCTCGGACCCAGGGTGCAGAACCACTCACAAGTTGGCCATCCGCAAAAGGCACTAGCTGCAACTGGCTCCTTTGCTCGCTGCCAGAGGTGGCCTTTTGGAAAAATAGATGGCCCTCGTAAATGGAAGCAACCCCATCTAAAGCAGTGCCATCTATGTTTAATCAAACTAACCTAAAAAGGACACCTACTGTGGATCGACGAAATCCATTTCGCACCACCTAAGAAACCATGGCTGCAACCATAACGTTTGTTGGTATTTACAGGGGAGTCATCTTTGCATCATGAGCGCCAAAGAGTCACTCGCGGGTGCCAAGGTCCCCACCATGGGCGAGGTGAGGTCGATATCCGGCCGGATCTTGCCCCAGCCTCAGCCACATCTCCAGGCGACGACGACGCAGACAATGACGACAATGACAGCAACGGCGTCAGCAGCAGCAGCACCAGCAGCAGCAGCAGCAACAAAGAGAAATCAAAGAAGTACGCAAGCAAGCAAACAACCAAACAAACGAACAACCAAACACTCAAGCAAGCAGAATAAACAAGCAGAACAAACAAAACAACAAACAAACAAACAAACAAACAAACAAACAAACAAACAAACAAACAGACAAGTAAAGAAACAAAGAAACAATGAAACAAAGAAACAATCAAACACTCAAACAAACAGAACAAACAAGCACAACAAACAAGCAGAACAAACAAGCAGAACAAACAAACAAACAAACAAACAAACAAACAAACCAACAAACAAATAAGCAAATAAGCAAAGAAACAAACAAACAAACAAACAAACAAGCAGAACAAACAAACAAACAAACAAACAAACAAACAAACCAAACAAACAAACAAGCAGAACAAACAAACAAACAAACAAACAAACCAAACAAACAAACAAACAAGCAAACAACGAAACAAAGACACAAAGAAACAAAGAAACAAAGAAACAAACAAACACACAAACAAACAAACACACAAACAAGCAGAACAAACAAAACGACAAACAAGCCAACAAACCAACAAACCAACAAGCAAGCAAGCAAGCCAGCCAGCCAGCAAGCAAACAAGCAAACAAACAAACAAACAAACAAACAAACAAACAAGCACTCAAACAAGCGGAACAAAGAAGCAGAACAAACAAACGAACAAACAAAACAACAAACAAACCAACAAACAAGCAAAGAAGCAAAGAAACAAAGAAACAAACAAACACTCAAACAAGCAAAACAAGCAGAACAAACAAACGAACAAACACAACAAACAAACCAACAAACAAGCAGAGAAACAAAGAAACAAGCAAACAAACACACAAAGAAACAACGGTAAAAAACTGCAACGAAAGAGTCCAGGTAGGAAGGCCCTCCGGCACTCCTCCAGGCAAAAGTAAAAAGAGAAGCGGTATGCGCGCTGCGCAACCCTTCCCGACCCTGCTCCATCTTGCGGAGGTCAGCTTGGCGTGCGGTCACTCTCAATGGAAGTGGACACAAATTGACAACTGCATCATGTGGTGGTTTCTCAAACTGGTGGACCCTTTTGGTGGTATTTTAAAGGGAAAGCAACCGGAAACCCACCGCCTGAAGGGGTCCCTTCGTTTGAGAACCGCCCATGTTTTCCAGGCAAGAGCTGAGGCTCACAAACAGCCAGAGCGTTGCAAGGCCAGCAACTCGGGGCAACAACTTCCCGATGACGGTTTTAAGGCGCAGAACTCAAAATGCGTGTTTGTTCCAACATGACCCCTGGTTTGTGCAACTGAGTGTGGAGCTATGCAAGTACCAACACCCCAGATTCAAACAGTCTGTTGATCCTGTCTACACCTCAAACCGAACCTTGAACCTCTGTTCAAAGCAAGCAGCCTAAACCCTGTGATGTGGCAACACAAACAACGCAGAAGCTCTATTGGAATTCTGGTCACGTCCGATTGTGGATCACCCAAGTGGAGGTGGCACCTCACAGAGTCCTCTGGTGGGTGAGGCTCCCAAACCGCTCTCGAATCCATTGGCAAGTCGTTGAAGCCTTCAAGACAGTGACACGAGGCATGCCAGCCACTACATAGGCAACCAGGGTTTGCGTTCCTTTGGACATGGTTCAACTTCTTACGAAAGCGGAACTGGAATCGTTGGGCTATCATGATGTGTTTCCCAAGCAAGCAAACCGCCAGGCAGATTCCGCGCTTCTCTCAAATCTTATCCAAAAAAATATTCTAATCTTTACCCAAGGCGCCAAACAAACCTTCTCTTTCTTGCCATAAAAAAGAAGGCCCCAAAACCGCTCCACCCGGTTTGCGGGGGGGGGGGTTGCGGCGGCTCCTACGCTCCTTGGCTCTGGATGGGGCGGTGGACTCATGGGTCGATGGTCGAGGCTTCGAGGCTTCGAGGCTTTGGCCGTCGCAGTTCGGACACCGCCCGGTGCCCTTTTTCAGCTCGGCCAGGAGGTTCTGCTTGAAGCCGTAGCAGCCGTCGCAGCCTCGGCGGGGCTCGTGCTCGGCTCGCTTGTTTTTGGCTTTCGCTCGTTGGAACAGCCGTAACCCCCCCCCCCTGGTTGGTTTTTGTGTTGAAGAGTTTTCCAAAAGGGAAACCCAGCTTCATTTTTTTCCTGTGGGTTCCCTAAAAGAAGGCACTTCCCACATATGGCGTTCCAAAAACTGGTTCCCCAGCAGCGGGAAGCTGGAAGGTTTGCTGGGAAGCTGCAGCTTCCAGATCTACAGCCTCGATGAATCACAGGCAAACAAGTCAAAAACACATCTGGCAATTCGCACGACTAGCTGCCGGTCTATGCCTGCGCTGTTTGTGGATGACAGCCATGTGTTTGTTCTCCTCAAAGGTGGGCAAACAGAACAGAATTTGTGCAAGTCTTTTTGGGCCCATGAAAGGTGGCATCTTGTGCCATGGCTTCGATCTTTCCTTCACGTCCTGTCAAATCAGGATCCACCATCCCCAAGTGAGCGGGGAATGCATGGCCATGCCATCACTTCCTGGTCGAATTTCAAGGCCCGGCCCGAAAAAGAAATTATCGCGGGTTGGCAGCATCACCACACTTTCCTAGGGAACTCCTCGGGGTTGATTCCTTCCAACCATTATTTTCGACCATCGTTCTTGTTTTTCAAAGACCGGTCGATCTGTTTATTTTCTGGGTTTTTGATGGTTTCCTGAAAAGCAGAATCCCTAAAAAAGGGGAAGGTACCCCTAGAGGAACCACTGCGCAACCATCAGACAAGGTTTGCTTTGCCCCCCATGCCCTTCTCTTTTGTATTTTGTTGGAGGGAAAGACCTGATCTTCCGTCCAACGCAACACATCGAGCACCTTGTGGTCGTCGGCCGTAGTCCTTGGGGGTCTTGTAGCCACACTCCGACGCCTCAGACGTGCCAAATTTTGATTTTTCTCTGCGTATCGAGCATCGAGCATCTCCAAAAAAAGAATATGGCCATGGGTGAAAATCCCGGTTACCCCCCCAGTGAACATCCAAATCCAACCACTAAAATCCCGACTAAGATGGGTGGTGATTTCACCTACCCCAAAATGGGATCCCATTTTGACCCACAGCCATATACTTGGCTGCCTGTGGGTGTGCCACTCACAAGTACACTTCCTCAAGACGGCTGTGGGAGGGCCCCTGAGGTGGATCCATCAGGGTGGTTTGGTCCCATTCGTAGAGGTTTTATCCCTCTGGCCCTGAGCTTCAGTTGGGTAACTTACAGCCGGCAAAGTGGCGCGAGCAAGCGGGAGCCATTGCTCGAGCTTGGAACTCGAGCTGCAAGTGTTCGAATATGAGGCATCATACTGGCAATCTCAATCGGCATTGCTGCACATAAATCAGAATGCGGGGTCGAGAAAGCAAAGCAAACGTACCATCAAATGATCGCGCTGAGTGAACTGACGTGCATCTTACTTAGGGACAAGTAGCCAGAGCCATACATGAAATCAAAGTATCTCTTTTCCGCCACCTCGAACACCAAGGATCCAAAAGACCCTTCTCTTTCTGGTTGCCAAAGCTAGGGTCAAACTGGGGAAAGCTTGGATTTTTGGCGATTTCGGCCGCGAAAGCTCAGGCAAACCCTGGTTTGGACTGCTTTGCTTCCAGATTTGAAGCCCTGGCTTTTGAGATGTGTCCCCGCTGACCTCCGAACCGCCAATCCAAATCAACCAGTAACAGGGCGGTGGGAAACGGAATCCACGAATCTTGTGATACAACAAAAAGGGGCAAGCCCCAAAGACTAACCCCCCATATGAAGAGGGGATTCCCAAGAGTTTCACAGAAGTGGTGATAAACCCTTTGATCCCACAACCCTGAGGGCGAAGGTTTTTCAGAAAAAAAGAAGAAGACAAACGGCCCCCCGCTCGTCGCTTCCGAGCAAGAAAGAAGAAAGAAAGGGGAAAAACAAAGAAACCCAAAAAACAATCAAAAAAAACACAGAAATCCTTCAGCCGGGGCCCCCGGGCCAGAAAGAGCGCCGGGTTGGTCCCCACGCCCAGGCACGCCACGCACTTCCCGGAGCCTCCGCGGAGAAAATCCCTTTGCTCAGTTGGACAAGAAAATCCAAAAAAAAGGAACGAATGGATCGGTGGTTTCTGAACAGAATGAGGGTTAATGAGAATCGGGGACCAAAAAAAGGCAGACCTGGGGTTGCCATTCGGACACCAAAGCCGCAGAAAATCAGTTGAAACGGTCTAAACCCAAACTGCAATTGAAAAGTGGCCAAGTGGAAGCGACGACCGGCGAAAGGGTGGATCAGGATGAATCAGAATTCCCACAGAGAAAATTGCCAAAATAGAAAATGCATTTGCCT